TCATCCTCACCACATCCAACGTCACAGAAAAGATCGATCTGGCCTTTGTGGACCGAGCTGATATAAAGCAGTACATCGGCCACCCGAGTGCCAGCGCCATCTTCAACATCTATCTGTCCTGTCTGGAGGAACTCATGAAGGTGAGCTCGTTTCCTTGAACCATTGAACATCTCTGTTCTTCTGCCGAACACAACAGTATCGATCTGAACCTTCCCTGCAGCGGCAGATCGTCTACCCCAGACAGCAGTGCTGAGTTTGGAGGAACTGGGCACCATGAACTTCACGGAGAGCGACGTGACCCATCTGAGCTTAACCCTGAGGAACATCACCCAGTGAGTGTTTGCTTATGACACAGCTAGTACTGAAAGTCTCAGAGAACGGATCTTCACGAGTGTCTCTTTCTGCACAGGAGGAGTGTGGGACTCAGGGGAAGAGCTTTGAGGTAAATCCCATTTCTGGCTCATGCGCTCTTTGGAAAGGTACTCGTGTTGTGTGATTTTTACCACAAATAAACTGTAGTTTTAGCCTTATTGCTGTGATGAAAGGATGGCAACAGCATTTTTTTGCATTGACATTTGTGACCCTGGAGCACAAAAGCAGTGTTAAGTCGCTGGGGGATATTTGTAGCAATAGCCAAAAATACATAGTATGGGTCAAAATTATAGATTTTTCTTTTAAGCCAAAAATCATTAGGATATTAAGTAAAGATCATGTTCCATGAAGACATTTTGTCAATTTCTTACCGTAAATATATCAAAATTAAATTTTTTATTAGTAATATGCATTGCTAAGAACTTCATTTGGACAACTTTAAAGATGATTTTCTCAATATTTAGATTTTTTTGCACCCTCAGATTCCAGATTTTCAAATAGTTGTATCTCAACCAAATATTGTCCGATCCTAACAAACCATTCATCAATGGAAAGATTATTTATTCAGCTTTCAGATGATGTATAAATCTCAATTTTGAGAAATTGACCCTTATGACTGCTTTTGTGCTCCAGAGTCACATTTAGTCAACTTGCGTTGCTTATTTCAAAAGGCAACTCAGATATTTTCATGTAAATTTAAAAAAAAAATCTTACTTTACCAGTTACTTGAAAAAAGTAATCTGATTACGTAACTCGTGTTACTTGTAATGCGTAACACTGGTAATAATATTAATATTAGGCATCATCTAATTAAATATGCACTAGTTTGCATACATTTCCAGAACAGAAACCTGAAAAAAGCCAGGTTCAAAATTATATCAGAATTAAAGACTTTTGAATATCACATTTTTATCTCTCCAAAAATCAGAAAATACTGTCAAAAGCCAAAAAAAATCATTTTAATTTTAGAAATAAAATGCTGTTATGAATCAGGCGAATGATATATAAACAAACCCATCTATAAAATCCTTTAGAATAAAGATAATAATAAAACTGATTTATGTTGAAGATGTATGTTGTAATTGAAATCTACAGACACAAATAGATCAAATTCAATCAAATAAACACTTAAATGTGTATTTTAGATGTCTTCTTTCCACTAGTCTGAAATAAAACGTGTCACAGAAAGCAGTGAATGAGAAAACTGGAGCATTTTGTGCGTCACAAATTTTAGAGTTGTACTTTTTGTTTTATAATCAGTTGTAGACAACAGAGTTTGAATATGCAGTTTAGTCTTTGTTTGTTGTAATCGCATCTCCTCTTCTGTCTCCAGTCCTCCACAATGACAGTCGAGGGTTTTCTGAAAGCGATGGAGTGCGCCGTGGACACTCTGATGTTCTGCTGTTGTATCAAAACGGTTTCTTCTTGTTTTGTTAATTCAGTATGTCTGGTCCGTTCACCAGCTTCATCCTAGAACAAACCAGTGTTGAGAGTTTAAAACGGCACTTATCATCTGCTAGGTAACATTTTTGATATTCATAAGCTGAAGTTTTGGTGTCCTAAATCCGACTTTGAAATATGCAGTGTAGCAGCTGCTATGTGCATATGAATAAAATAATGTTCTTTTTTGTGTTCAGTTTTTATATATGTATATATTTAAATCATTTAATTAAAATGAGGGGGAAAAAATCACTTCTTTTGGTTCTTTTTGATATTCATAAGCTGAAGTTTTGGTGTCCTAAATCCGACTTTGAAATATGCAGTGTAGCAGCTGCTATGTGCATATGAATAAAATAATGTTCTTTTTTATGTTCAGTTTTTATATATGTATATATTTAAATCATTTAATTAAAATGAGGGGGAAAAAATCACTTCTTTTGGTTCTTTTTTTCTGAATTGGACATAAAATGTTTTAGTCTAATCTAATTTATACATTGCAACCAGTAGGTGGCATAATGGTGCTACTGCAGGAAAAACAGCATGCATGAATGCAAGAAATGCCTCTGATAGATATTACCAGATGCACAATCACTCAGACAGCTATTCTTACTTTTATTAGAAACTATTTGAAAACCAAACCAGGTTTGTGTGCTAACACAATGCCTTTATTCACATTGCTTTCAGTTTTTATTTGGTTTTCAAATCCAGTCTTTAGGACTGACGTCCACATTGTCATTATGCAAGAGGTTTGTACAAATCAGATTTCATGTTTTATTTTTATTATAGTTTGCATTTTTTGATGACTGTGTCTGAGCAAAATCTGCCTGAACATGCAGGGGTTCTGAGGGTCTTAAGTCTTAATTCTCCCTTCCACAATCGAAGGCCTTAAAAGCTCTTAAATCAGAGCAGAAAGTCTTTAATTCAGATTCATGGCATTGAATGTTGCATGCACTGCAAAAAATTAATATCTTGCTCAGTATTTTTGTTTTCAAGTACAAATATGTAAACATCCTTAAATCAAGACGCATTTACTTGAGACACAAAAAGATAAAAATTAATCTTATTTTTTAAATTAATCTTAAAGTGAGTTTATGCTTAAAACGAGAACAAACATCTGTCAATGGGGTATGAAAATGTATTTAAGTTTATTGTTCTGAGCCCATTGGCAGATATTTGTTCTTGTTTCAATCATAAACTAATTTGGATAAATTTCTCAGAAAACAAGACTGCGTATGTTATTTTGCTTCTCAAGTGAGTGCATCTTGATTTAACAATCTTTAGACATTTTCAGATTTCAACCGAGACATAAATTCAGAGGAAGAACATGCTTTTTTTTTTGCAGTGTGTTTCAAAGTTATTTCTATATTCTAGTGTTTGGGAGCAGTGTTGCCAGATTGGATGGACGAATTCCAGCCCAAAAGCTCACAAAAACCCACCCAAAAATCGCCCAAAACTTTAACTGTCAAAATAATGTGATGGCATACATAAATCAAGGTTGATGAGGGCCATTTTTAACTCCTTAAAACAAAATAATGTTGACAAAATAATTTATATAACGTTAGATAAATTTCCCAGGTAGACGGATTGAATCGGGGCAAATAGCTTACATTAAAGGGAATTGGGCTACCGAACATGAATAAAATATTCAAGCAGACACTGTCAGAACAGCAATCAAGAAATGCATCCTTTTCAATGTCAGCAGGCAGAATAATCCAATTTAAATGCAAAAAGTGCCCAAAATAAGTGATAGAAAATAGCAACGTTGCAGGTATTTCACACTCGTTCATGCACACACCACGACAGTCAAAACTGTGTCATTCATTGATAGGCTACATACTGAATTATAATTCGACTATTAAAAAAAACGAACAAAAAAAAACAATAATGCGCTTACCTTCGTGTCGCTCTATAATTTTACACAGAACTGGAAGCCTCTTGTTAAGTTCATATTGTAGAACATAATACAGAACTTTGCACAGTCAAAACTAATCAAGTCTAGCAGTTTTCAAGGATTTATCAATCTGGACCGTTTAAAAGATAAAAGACAGGACCGTATAAACCGACATATTTAGATTCGGTTTTAATTAATTACTTCAAATGTGCTCTGATTTCGGAGTTGCAGTGATAGAGCCTTCGTGACATCTCACTCCACAATAATTCACGTTTTGAGAGTTGAGTCACCCACACTTTAACTTATATTTAGGCATTGTGATTACTTGAATATACAGTCATACTACACTCTTAAAAATGCTGGGTTAAATACAACCCAGTGCTGGGTTAAATAGGGACAAACCCAGCAATTGGGTTGTTTTGACCCAGCGGTTGGGTTACTACCCAGAAGGTTGGGTTAAACATTTAACCAAACCGCTGGGTCAAAACAACCCAATTGCTGGGTTTGTCCCTATTTAACCCAGCACTGGGTTGTATTTAACCCAGCATTTTTTAGAGTGTACATTCAAAATCAGATACGTTATAACTTATCACGCTAAAAATTTGTCACTCGTTTACATCAGCACCAGCGCCTCTGCAGTGTGTGTGTGTAGTAGGCTAACGTTGTGATGACCGATTGGATGCAGTACATGCATACTTGGGCTTGTTTGTTAAACAATTAGCCTATGCAATTTATATGATTGAAAACCGCCAAACTGACCCCAAACTAGCCCAAATTTTGTCCACCCGCCTAAGTCAATTTTTACCAGCACAATCAAATTCAAAACCGCCCAATCTGGCAACACTGTTTGCCAACATCTGGCAAAGCTATTTTGTGTAAAAATGAATTAAAAAGTAATAGATATCAGTTCAAAGTTGTATTTTTAAACTTGAAATGTTTGCTAATACAACTCATTGTGTGATATTTAAATCTAGAGACCATATCGATGTATTGTGTTGTTAAAAAGGACTTAAATTTAAAAGGCCTTCATAAAACCTGCAGAAACCCTGAAACCGATTGTTTTGTGTCATTTCAAAGAGATTAAAGTTATAAAACACAAACTAAAATGCATAGCATTTCATTCTCCCACATGTGCATTCATTCAGAGTCAGCTTTCTCGCATGTAGTTTGACCTTTCGTCGTTTAGAAACCAGTTTGACACCATATTTAAAGCGGCCTGCTTTGATGTGCTGTTTGGAAAGATTCGAGTTGTGAGAATTTGTTTTATGCGAATCCCATAATCACAAAGAGCTGCTTGATGTGTATCATCACCCGCCGATACCGGATCAAACAGGTAAACACCTGCGAGCCATCATTGTGCAGGTATCTGTAGCGCATTCTTCTGATATGATGTGAGATTAAACCGTGTCAGGCTGCAGACCAGATAAACAAACCCATAATTGCAATGTCTGCAGGCTTTTTTCTCTTCCTGACAGTTCCTCGTCCAAAAACACGCAGCTGTTTGAATCGAATCAGAAAAAACATCGTCAAAAGCCTTATTGTTGCAGTGTTTTATACCACTTTTGTGGTTGGAAACTGCCAGTGAGTTCCTAAACAAAGCAAACACTATAATGCTGCAGAATTTCTCTGGGGTTCTGGCCTCAAGCGCTGGAATATCAATAGAGCTGCCAATAGTAATACATTAGTTGAAGAGTTAATAACATGAGACATTTAAGGCTGTTCAGTAGGACTGCAGAGAGATACATGAGCTTTTGTTTGAAATAAAAGAATGATTTATGCTGCTTATTGGCAAATCAGTATTGCAAATCTCTCCCCTCTTTCAGTATTGCAACAGATCTTTTCCACACGTGCAAACGCAATATGCTTTCATATCTTGTTTTTATTTATTTTTTTGTCTTTCTAAAACTAATTGATAATGAAAAATGTTCCTGTGGGGACCGTGCATGTTTGAATTACCAACTATTTGTTTTGCATTTTCTGAAGAAAGTGGTTGCTGTCTGGCTTAAGTGAAAAAATCTTTTTTTTTTATTAACCAAGATATTGAAATTTTGCTTAACTTATTAAAAATAACACATTTAAAATGAACTTTAAGCATACAAGCTATTTTGTTTTTAGTGTTTATTTGTTTTCTGTTTTTTTTAAAGAACATAAAATGTAAAAAAAAATTTTAAGTTGTACATAAAACATTATTAGAGTATGTTTTACTTAAAAAAATTACTTTTAATTCAATATGTTACTATTTCTTTGTAACTGTTAGTGAAATTTACTAGTAATTTCTAAGTGAAAATTGTTTCTACTTGTTTCTAGATTTATAATATCAGCCATTTCTTGGTTATTAGCCTTAATGTAAAAATGATTATTTATCGGCTGATATTTAATTCTAAATAAAAGCTATTTACTTTAGTTTTTAGAGTGTATTAATGTTTATTATTGGCCATTTATCAGTTATTGGCCTTAATTGGAAAATTATTATTTATTGGCCGATATTTAATGTTTAATACGAAATAAAAACTAATTCAGTTTTTAGAATGTATCAATTTTCTTTATATAGTCGATTTAAAATAATGGCCATTTATTGATTATTGGCCTTAATTTTAAAATTATTATTTATTGGCTGATATTTATAATTTAATTTAAAATAAAAACGGTTTATTTTTGTTTTTGGTATATCAATTTTCTTCAAGTAGCATAGATTTATAGTATCGGCCATTTATCGGTGATTAGCCTTAATGTGAAAATGATTATTTAGTGGCCGATATTTATTATTTAATTTGAAATAAAACAGTTTATATTAGTTTTTGGTGTATCAATTTTCTTTAAGTAGCATAGATTTATAATATCGGCCATTTATCGGTGATTAGCCTTAATGTGAAAATGATTATTTAGTGGCCGATATTTATTATTTGATTCAAATAAATCTATTTACTTTAGTTTTTAGAGTATCAATTTTCTTTAAGTAGTATAGATTTATAATGTCGGCCATTATCAGTAATTGGCCATAAACAGGAAAATACTAATTATAGTAGGTTAATACCATTTAGTAGTTAAAAATCAGCCTTTTCTGTCCCAGTCACAAAGGGATTATTCAGCTGTTGTTTCTAGTATCATATGTCAGTGTGAAACAAGTTTAGCTTCTCATTCTGATGCTGAAATCCTTGGGTTCAGGTCTGGTGTCATGTGTGTTGCTTCGGATGCATCTGCTGAATGACTAACATGCTAAATGTGACGATACCATCAGGAAAGAGAAAGATGCAACTCTGGAGGAGCCGGCTTTGGATTTCAGCATCTGTGTAACTCATCAGAGACGTTAAACCACAAGCTGCCACGGGTTGAGAGTTTGTAAAGTCCCAGAGACGAATATGTGGAACAACATCACAAGCATGCTGAGGAGAGAGAGTAATAACAGAGTTTCAGTTGAGCTGTCATCAAGTGGGCGATTACATGTCATCAGCGGCGCCTGAAGAGTGATGATCTTTCCATTGTACTGCCTTCAAATCTGAATTTGCATTTTTGTTCTGAATTTTCTCATTGCATCAAGCGCAACGTAATTAGTCATGTCAATCTTCCACTGTAAGTACACTAGATGCTTTCCTGAGGTTGTGCTGGTGTTTAAAGAGCTCCAAAAGTTGGAAAAATGCATCATCAAACACTCATTTAGAGATTTTTTACTTTTGTAGAGAAAATGTGTGTTGTTTGAAAATTCTAAAATTGAAAATTGTTTGAAAGTGTAGATGTTGCTCAGATCCCTCTGTCAGTGTAAGAAAAGTACAATCTGCAAATGTTGCATTTTGATTGATACACCAAAGTTAAATACTTGGTTTAATAAGTTCTTACCAAACACCTACGATGACCCCAAAAATTGTTCAGACATGCAAGTAATTTGAATCTAAATGCTCTTGCTTTTAGGGAAAATATGAGACAAATGCTGCAGGACCTTTTCTCTTCACTAACATCACTTTTATTCATAATTTTGCTCGGTGTGTTTGAATCCAGTGATTTTTAATGGATGTTTGAAGTCAGTTCTCCTCAAGTGTCTGTCAAGCAGAGGAACTGCCGGTATACTGTAAGTACTGAGGGCCTGTTTACACCTGGTCACTTAATGCGTTTTCTCTGATCAAATAGCTATCTGATTTGTTAAAACGGTTCTATTTACACTTCATTATGTGTTGAGCGTCTGCAACTTACTTTCAGTTTCATTTGCAGTAGTTTGCCAAAGACTAGATATATGCCAAATACTAGATATATGCCAAAGACTAGATGTATGCCAAATACTAGATAAATGCCAAATACTAGATATATGCCAAATACTAGATATATGCCAAAGACTAGATATATGTCAAAGACGAGATATATGCCAAATACTAGATATATGCCAAATACTAGATATATGCCAAAGACTAGATATATACCAAATACTAGATATATACCAAAGACTAGATACATACCAAAGACTAGATATATACCAAAGACTAGATATATACCAAAGACTAGATATATACCAAAGACTAGATATATACCAAAGACTAGATATATACCAAAGACTAGATATATACCAAAGACTAGATATATACCAAAGACTAGATATATACCAAAGACTAGATATATACCAAAGACTAGATATATACCAAAGACTAGATATATACCAAAGACTAGATATATACCAAAGACTAGATATATACCAAAGACTAGATATATACCAAAGACTAGATATATACCAAAGACTAGATATATACCAAAGACTAGATACATACCAAAGACTAGATATATACCAAATACTAGATATATACCAAAGACTAGATACATACCAAAGACTAGATACATGCTCCTCAAATCCACTTTCAGGGGATAGTTTTGTTGTGAACGGCTTTATTTCAAGAAGAGGAGCTGAAGAAGGCGAGAGATACGACACAAATCTGAAAGATTATAAGGTAAGAAATGCTTGTTTTTGTGCATTTGCTTCTGAGTCTGTCTGGTTATCCATCATAAGGTGAGTTAAGGCTGTGCAGTTAAGGCGCAATGCTGCATAAAAGCCAGACTGAAGTATAGCTGTGTAAATGTGTTTATGCCGCCTCTGAGCAGCATTAAACAGTGTTTAAAGATGCCTGAATGCTACTTCAGAAGCGCTTCTGTGCCAATTTGCAGGGGGAAAATACAGCAATACATGTCTTCCAAGGAAGCATCCTAACTGAAATCGAGCACAATATCTGACCGTTCTACAAACAAAAAGCACTTCTCTTGGAAAACCCAACTAATTTAAATCCATTTTTCCAAAGATTGTAGCATATGCATTAGGGCAGGGTTGAAAATACAGATTTTAATCGATTATTTTTTTTGATGAACCAATATCGATTTTTTACATTCCAAGAATCAATCTATGCTGTTTTCAGTCGATGTGTGAACAAAACTTAATGAAACATTATTTGTAGCGCCCCCCCTGCAATAAGTTAAAAAAATCGTTGTTACTTTTGATGTGAAACAAAGTCTCAGCTTTCAGATTCTGTCTATTTCATCATGAACCGATCACATCTTCCTATTTACTACTAGTTATAACACCAAATAAACATGAACGAACAATAGAAAGTGTTGAAAGAAACAGATCAACTTACTGAAATGAATCCTGTCTCATGTAATCACTCACTCAAGATTTCAATCGTGGAAAGATGTCAATAAAACAGCATGTGATCAGTATGTCACGTAACGTCACATTTACCTCAGGAAAAGCCATTCAGTGACCATAAATTCCATAGCTAGCTAAAAAAAAAATCACTCTAGAAAAGGGTATTTTGCTAAATATGTGCACTATATTACATATTCATTATATTTTTACTTAACCTGTTCTTAAATATCTAATGCATGTTTGAAGAAATGAAAACAAGTTATGACATCCACGGGTAAAATGTTTATATTTCAACAACAAACTGGAGTAGAAACATAATTATGTCATTAAAAAGTTATTTTAAATATATTATAAATTATAATCATTTGATTATAAAAATTGCCTTTTTTATTAAATTTTTTAATGTATGTTTACAAATATAATAAATATATATTATAATATAAACATATTATAAAAAAAAATTTTTGCTTGTAAAAACTGTCTAATTTTTTAATGTTTGTTTACAACATTATCACAACAGTTCATTTAATAATGTACCAACTGACAGGGTTTATCGAGTAGTTTACTGTATTAGTTGAGAGAGATTTTTTTCTTTACCTGATTGTCTATATATCCAAGTGAATCGAGATCGAAATTGAATCGAATAGCAAGCTTGTGAATCAACCTCAAATTGAATCATGAAATTTGTCTCAATACCCAGCCCTAGTTTGCATGCTGCTAAGATTTTCTAATAAGATATACACAGCAGCAACGAATACTAAGAAAAACTGTTGTTTTAGCACTGTTTTTATCATTTGTGGTGCATTATGGGATTGCTTTCTTCTCAAAGGGTGCATTTGATGCTGCCTTACCATTTGGCCCATATATGTGACCCTGCAGCACAAAAGCAGTGTTAAGTCGCTGGGGTATATTTGTAGCAATAGCCAACAATACATTGTATGGGTCAAAATTATAAATTTTTCTTTCATGCCAAAAATCATTAGGATATTAAGTAAAGATCATGTTCCATGAAGATATTTAGTAAATTTCCTACCGTAAATATTTTTGATTTGTAACATGGATTGCTAAGAACTTCATTTGGACAACTTTAAAGGTGATTTGCTCAATATTTAGATTTTTTTGCACCCTCAGATTCCAGATTTTTAAATAGTTGTATTTCAGAAATTGACCCTTATGATTGCTTTTGTGGTCCAGGGTCACAAATGGCATCTTAGAGACTAGATTTGCTATGCTTTTATAAAAGTAATCCATGAAATCCCTGAAGCGTCGGACTATTCAGCTGTAAGAGAGATTCAGCTGCAGCTTTTTCCCTGTATCTTGGTCAAATCGCTCAAGAATCCAGAGCTGCACCGCAGAAGGAACACAGAGAGCTGCTGCTGCTGTTGTTTTAGTCGTGTTTGGCAGCGGGACAGCGCCGCTGTGGTTGTTCCCCGGTGGGATTGATGGGTTTTGACGTGCCGTCCCCTGCGGGGAAGTTTGGCGGTGGGACTGTGACATCAGCGGCGGGCGTTGAAGGTGCAGAACCAGAGGTTTTTGTGATTGACAGCTGTTTTAACTAACAGCTGAGAGTCGCGGTTAGTCCTGGACAGTCGTGCATAACATCTGCGTGAACAGCGTTCGGATTATACAGTGATTTACAGGAGTGTGAGATTACCAGATTTAATTTTTTATATCTGTGCAGTTGATTTTTTGCTCTTTCTCCTCCATCTGAGGACTTTTGTCTCGTTCTTTGACCACACAATACTGCTATTTTCTGGCATGTTTTATAACATAAGACAGGTTGACAGCCCTAACCTTAGTGATTCATAGCAAAGAATAACATGCCTCATGGCATACGTATGTCAGTAACACTGTTCTGTTCATACTACACAATATTGCAATGATTTTAAGGCACTTTTTACTACACTTGTTGAGACAGAGATTTATTAATGTCTCTCGTTTAAACTTAAGTAATAAAAGCACTGTTAGAGCTTGTTTGAATCATTTCTGTGGATGGGTTCAAACTGTCCATTTCAAAGAATCAATTCAAAAGTCTTCGACTTTATTCATTGAATTAGACAGAAATTCACAGGAATGAATCAAATTGACTCACCTTAACAAGTTTGTTTGATTCATTTCTGTGGATGGGTTCAAAATGTCAAATTTAAAAGAATCAATTCAAAAGTCTCTGAATTGATTCATTGAAATGAACAGAAATCCACAAGAACGAATCATATAGACTCTTAACAAGTTTGTTTAAATTATTTCTGTGGGTGGACTCAAACTGTCCATTTTAAAGATTAAATTCAAAAGTCTTTGGATTTATTTGCAATGGACAGATATTCACAGGAATGAAACAAACCAACTCTTAAGTTAGTGTGAATCATTTCTCTAGATGGGTTCAACATATCCATTTCAATGAATCAATTAAAAATTCACTCTCAAAAATCTCTGAATTGATTCTTTGAAATGGACAGAAGTTCACAGGAATGAATCAAACCAACACTAACTCAGTTTGATTCATTTCTGTGGATGGTTTCAAACTGTCCATTTCAAAGAATCGGTTCAGTAAGTCGACCTCAAAAATCTCAAAAGAACTGATTCATTGAAATGGACAGAAGCCGATGTGTCTCAGTATGTCAGACTCTCTCACCTGTGCATGGCTTTGCTTCATTTCAATTAGTCTCCGAAGGATGCTGAAGGACGTCATAGTAAAAAGACTCTAACTGATGATTAACCTGCTCTATTAGAAGCCCTATAAAAGTCCTTCCCGTCATGAATGGGAAAGTTATTTGGGAAAATCTGACAGCGGCCTTGAGGGGAAACCATTAATGGGCAGGTCCAGGGTTTGATTTCATCAAAGTTTTGGCTCCGGTTTGTGTTTTGTCAGTCGTCAAGTCGACTCTTTGAAACTGTGAGCAAGAGCGCGGGAGACTTTTGAGTTGCGATAAGATGCGTTTAGGTTGTTTATTTCGGGTGGATGAAGTGAAAGAGGCACTTTCAAACCGGAGCTTTTGATTCGAGTCCATTTCAGGTCAGAGCTTGGTTGATGTGAAACTCTGGTTTGGACCGAACAATCAAACCATGAGTCACTAGACTGAACTAGTGAACTAGTTTGATTTATTTCTCTCAATCTCAATCTCTTACCCCCAGGGCATCCAATATGTAGGTGACTTTGTTTCTTCAGTAGAACACAAATGATGATTTTTAACTCCAGCCGTTGCAGTCTGTCAGTCGTATAATGCATGGCAATGGTAACAAAATCTATGAGAGTAAAAAAAACATGCACAGACAAATCCAAATTAAACCCTGCGGCTCGTGACGACACATTGATGTCCTAACACACGAAACAATCGGTTTGTGCCAGAAACCGAACAGTATTTATATAATTTTTTTACCTCTAATACACCACTATGTCCAACTGCTTTGAGCGCGCGCACGGCATCCGGTGCGTGAGGTGTGTACGCGCTCTGGCGTAGTTTACGTTAATGGGTGTGTTGATATCCAGCCGAAGAGCAATCAAGCATAACTTCAGGCGAGCAGGCTCAGAAGTTGGGAATACGTGGAAAGTCACTACTCCCGAATGAGTTCGCATGAGAGAACGTAATCTTTTATCGCCCAAAGCAGCTGGACATAGTGGTGTATTAGAGGTAAAATATTATATAAATACTGTTGGGTTTCTGGCACAAACGATCGTTTCGTGTGTTAGGACATCAATGTGTCGTCACGAGCCGCAGGGTTTAATATGGATTTGTCTGTGCATGTTTTTTTTACTCTCATAGATTTTGTTACCATTGCCATGCATTATACGACTGATAGACTGCAACGGTTAAAGTTAAAAATCATCAAATGTGTTCTACTGAAGAAACAAAGTCACCTACATCTTGGATGCCCTGCAGGGGGTAAGCAGATAAACATCACATTTTCATTTTTGGGTGAACTATCCCTTTAATGTGAAAGGTCAAACAATCAAACCATGAGTCACTTGATTGAACTAGTTTTGTTGCATAACTTGTTGCAGTTTAGATCACAAGCATTTTCTTGTGTTGCCATCTCACTTTTGGAATTTAGTTGCAAATTAATCTGCAATTTCTCATATTGTGCATATTTATGTCTAAGCATAAATGAAAACGAATGCATGTGTGCATGTGAACTAGGCTTATGAATCACGCTGCTGTCTAATCTGCTCTTTGTGATTTTTGAAAACACTGTAATCACAGTTTTGTGCTGCCATGTTTATTCTGCAGTAAACTGAATCCTCTTTAGCAATATCTTCACGAGTTGCAGGAATAACTAGTCATTGTTGTGGGAGCGGAGCACGTTTGATTGAAG